CAATGACGCATCTCCACTTTGTTCTATTTGCTGCCGTCCACTTCATTTGGGTCCACAATTGCCCATAATCTGTCACCTGCTCGCACGATCCCCTACATGTCGCAATCGCACCCACGACATACAAAAACAAAAGTGATCAGTTGTCATAACTATGATGGCTTATATGAATCACCGTTTAAGAGGAGTTGAATGATGCCTCTGGAGTGACGTTATGGGACGAATGTTTCAGCGAATGCTATTTCATGTGCACGCACATAGAAAAGAAAGAGAATGTGAGAAAATTGCCTGAGAGTTGTAGAGAAGAGCAAAGGTTATGCAGAGTTAACAGACAAACAAATAAAGTAGAGCAATTTTGAGATATCTCCTTCCCGCATCGCTGTTGAACTGATTCTGTGTTCTCGATAACTCATTTGTTGTCGAAGTGAATCACGTATACTTTATGATATGTAACGGACTTGTAGCTGTCTTTGTGGCTTTTTCTGACTGTGCGTCTCTCGATGAGGTTTTCCAGAGCTATACAATGTACGGTTCCCTGTGTTCACACCACAGATATTCGATATCGCTCGTTACATCCTGGATTATGCAAGCGTAGTCTACAGACATTTCATCATATCTAGATATCATCCGGCGTGTGCTTATTGAGATGTTTATATTGGGTGTCAGTGATGAAGAGGATAACTGTTATAACTATATACTTACTACTTGAATAACCGCCTGAAACCTGACAAGATATTTGATTCCAAATGGTGAGGGAACCTGTTAGATGATTTGTGCTTGATAAAAAACACGTCACCTGTGAAGACATTGCAAGAAATGCGAGTAAAATAATCTATAACCCTCTTTAAGCAGATATTACAGCTGAACTCCTAATTTCGACGTATTCAATGTGGTGAACTCCGATGATGACTAATATTCAAACATCGCCAACATTGTTTCTGGAGAGAAGCAAGTACTGTCGAGATCGAGAACCTAGTTACAGTTATGTTGCTTCGGAAGAAACACGGAATACTCGGAAATGCATCTGAAGTGGTGATCTGACAGGAAAACAAGAGAATAATATTTCACTATATCTTTGTTTTCTGTATCATACCAGTTTGAGGTATTTGATTCTTTTTTCGAATGTGTCCACGGATGATGTGATTGTCCATTATACATAAAGTGCATGTATGGGATTTCCGTTGAGGTTTCCGTTGAAAGCGAGAATAAATAAAGCGTGGCTTAAAGCAGGAAGAATAAACGTATGACTTGGCCGTAGACTACACACAATGTTTTTGTGTTGAAATCCAGTAAGCAACTGAGATTAGGCAAAGTTGGAGCATAAAGCGACACGAAGTAGAAGAAATGTCTTCAATATTGTACGTTTTGAGTAAGTAGTCTGAGGACGTCAACCTGCACTCAACATATGAACACAATTTAACGGAAAAAGCGATGAAATTCAAGAGAACCAACAAATTATACAGCAGCAGTGAAACTAGACAAAAATTAGTCACAAAGAAATCAATTAGAGTTGATCATATCATCCAATGTATTTCAATTCACATAGGAGAATTTCCACTTCTTTAAGAAGAGCTTCCTTCGTGGGAACACTGATAGTAGTGTTCTCCAGTCAACCGCTGGTCTGCAGAGGCTCAAAAGACAAGATCCCGCACCTGGCCGCTTCTAAGTGTGTGATTATATCACTTTACCTGTTGCTGTGGAGCCAGGCACATCGGGCGTTCGACGCGCATCCTGTCAAAAAGTGTCTAAGAACACTATTCAGTAGAAATGAAGTAGTGGGTGTATGAGGAGTGCAATAATCGAACCTCTCTTCACTACTCGTTATTCCATCTCAACTAATGCCCTCTTCAAAGTTATCTACAATGTGAAGAATTACTTATCAAAGAAGATACCCTTCTGTCTTCTTTGCGTTGCAGAAGCCCCAGCCATTCAGTTAGAAGAACCAGAAGTATGCATAAAAAAGAAAATTATTCAGCCATATCTACTCTCTTGATAACAACTCTGTTTATTTCACTTTACTTTTGTTTGATTACTTGCTTTTTTTAACTACTTAAATCTCTTCGGAATACCGTTTTATATTTTGTTTCTATGTACACCCTAAATACAACTCAAACAATTCACTTAATTACGCAACCCTTCGCCAACAATCGTTTGTGACAACTCATCACTTCTTTCACAACCCTCTTATATCAATATTCACTTCCTCTGAACGCATTTTGTGTCACCTAAATCCACGAAAATCTAACTAATTGTACTTTAGCTTGACAAATTTAAACATACCACATATATACGATTGTACAGCTTGATAATAGATTCGTTGAAAAGAGTCTCTTTGCTGAATCCTTTGTTTTTAGTTCGATGTCCACACACACATACATAGTAACCATGTATAAATTTTCGATTGTACAGTTTCGAAAATGAATTCACTGAAATGAAACTGTTCGCTGAACTACTGGTCTTCTCTCTATAAATGAGAAATACATCGTGATAAACTTGTTTCGCGTTTAACATCGTGGTCGAGAAAGAAGTATCCGGCTATGTGGACTACGAGATGTAGTTATAGTCAAGGAGAGCAAATAGATAAGCACAACCGAGAAGCAAGCAAAACCATCTGTGGTTATCGTCAGAAAGATAAGTGGAATTGTTTCATTTGAGGCGGAAATGATTTTTCACTACAATCAAAATGATCGTTGTCATTGGTGTAAAGAACTGCATATCGATTCGCTAAGACAACTGAATTTTGTCTTTATTCAATTCTATCGTTGATATTCTGAAAATGTCAGTATAAACAGAAGAAGTCTAGATATTTTTAGAAGGGAGACATCCTCCTCAATGGTGATCATAATCAATGATCACCAGCCCACACATCAAAATAACGCACGATGCCTGATTCATATCGTACGATGAAACTGCTTACACAGGGCGGAATTATTTGTGTGATTTCAGGTCAAGTTCATGCGTTGTTTGTTTAATGAAAATTTTTCAGTTCTACTAATTATTTCTATTATAGAAGTTAATTAACATAATGAGAATTTTTGGCAAGGATATTATGTGGAGTGTTGAGAAGCAGTGGAATGCGTGATTCAACCAGTTAGGTGAATTTCCTGCATCCTTCTACTGATTTACCACACGCAATACATATGAGACTGCCTTTATTCAATCATTCGCTTCTGGCTTCACGTCCTTGTCTTGTTGTCTGTGACTATCTTGGTCTGCATAATTTGCCATGTTTGTGTTTTAATGAATTCGCGAATGCATACCTTTCAAGAGACAGTCGACGATGGTTAGGATTCATTCACTATGTTTAAATTATCCTTGATTACTATGAGTATGTAGATGTAGTGACAATAGATTTGTACATAAAGAACTTTGCAGCATATTTTGAAGGACAGATTTCAACAAAACAGATTTTCATTTAACACTTCTCTGATCACATCAAAGGTTCGACAAATAAGTTTTCGCGAAGTGTTCACATCATGTTGTTAAAGGATAAAATGGTTTACTGTTGCCTCTAGTTCTATGTTTGAGAAGTGTGTGGAGGGTTGCGTATGAAGAGGGTTCTCTTACTCCAAGTCTTATTATGCGTTCACTTGTCTGTTCAAAATATTATTAGTGAGTTGATTTGGCGAAAACTCACGTGTCCTACCGATAGCCCTCAATGCTCACCATCACCCACTAGAGCTTTTCATTGGCGCGCTAGGAAGGTTTAAGTAAGATTTACAAGGATTGAGAAGAATTAACGAACTGTTAAAGGAGATCGACTTGCCCTCTTTGTGAAACTGGATAGACGAAATATCCTTCAGGTAATTACATAGGTCTGGGTAGTGCAGAAGTGATTAGAGGGAAGTCAGAGGTGTGGGAATAAGATTCATTTAAATGTCTGAATAGTAAATTATGGGGACGATTAATTTGTTCACACTACTGTCCTGACTAACTTCCACAGACCTGTCAGTTGTTAAAATTAGAAAGTTCAGATGAGAGAAGTCAGAGAGAGTTTGAAGAAAGCCGTTTCATGCAGAAATGAGACTTCAGTTTGTCTGCTAAATGTGAGTCAATGAAAGGTGTAGTGGAAGTGTTCAAAAGTTGACAAATAAATGCCAAGCAGGAAATAGACAAGATTCTCACGAAAGAAGGTGCAGAATCCATGGGTTATTTCAAGTCAGGTGATAGCCATTTAACCACTAGACCTGACACTCAGACAGTGAATATATTAAACCATGTCGAAGAAATGCACTTCTTACTAGTTCACTGTTTCCACTTCGAACACCATTTCTTAGTAAATAAAGATTTAAGTAGAGCTATAGAGTGGCAAACTGTTAAGTCGTCGAAGTCTTCAGAAGTGAAAAATATGCTTAACCATGTGTATTAAATCCACTCCTTCGCTAAATGACTCATACTTGGAGACTTCACGCGTTAGTGAATATTTGTGAGCAGATTGTTCGTCTACGTTCTTCTTTGTCAACATCAGATTGACTATTTCATTTATGCGTTGAACGGCCGATTATTTCCATGGATGTCGTATGACGAGAGTCAGTCGGAAATGGCGTAAAAGATGTGTGCACTTATGTTGACAACATTGAAGACAGGAATTATGAATAAATAATGAACGCTCAATAGTGTCATTTACTTGTTCAATCACACTTTATCTCATATTCCCTATGACTGCATATTTCAACTACCATAAAATGACAATCCAATTGAATGTCGATCCGTTGTGTACTACCAGCGCACTCAGTACAGTGTCTGATGTAATTCCGACTTGTCTACACAGAATATTGTATTCTGACATTCGTGGGATGTTACTGTGGAGCCTAATAAATAGTTTAATAATAGGAATTAACGTGAAACAATCCTGCTGACAATATGCCAAAATGTGTTTAGTGTTGAACTCTCACGGATAAAAAATACAGCTTCAGTTGCAGATTCGTAAGGCTAATTCAAATTGACTCCCTGAATTTGCTTTTCCACTATGTATCGCGAGTGTGCTTTCTTCATGTGGACGCCATCTTACGAGTTCCGCCCACTATTTGGATTGAAGTGTTTCTGCAGATCGATAGATTTCACTGCACCTATCAGATTCCACTGATTCATTATGTGAATCATCCGATATTATGAGACGTTCTTTCACTCACCAATCACAACACTCACAGTCTCCCACAAATGAACGAAGAAATCGTGATTATTGTAATTAACCAATTACAACAATAACTGTGACTGTTTTTTGTGGTATAAATAAGCGAACGAAAAGTCAGTTGCCATAAGAAGATGGTCTACTTTGCATACAGCCACATAGCTTTTGTCACTCTGTTGACATTTGCAGCCGTGAACGCAGGTAAGCATTTTTTCAAAAGATAGTATATTTGTGGCTTATGCCCGCACTGCGTGTTTACCTTATTCACTAAAGCTGCTGAATATTTTACCAGTTACTCTCATAGGTCATTCTCTGTCTGGTTGAATCTTTACTCCAAAATGCTCACTTTTGCGTGTGCTTTCATCTCAAATTCATCTTGCTCAGTACATGGTGACCAGCAGCACAATCGCCGCGACGTCTTTCAGCCTACTTCTAAATCAGAAACTGTGTAAATTAGTTATCGCACAGTTACATGTTATCTCATAGGGATAATGTGTCATTCTAAAATTTCCTCATATATTAATAGCTTGAATAAACATTTCGAGATGATGTTTTCCTGCACTGCAATTGCATACATAAAGCGTCCAAGAGGCGTTTGACGCATTGCAAGTGTTTTATTTATCTTCAGTATTCTGAAACTTCTCCGCTGTATAATAACTGTCGTTTGCATTTCTTGTTCAAGGTGAACCGTGGAGTAAACGGGGCATGATACATGTGTTTAACCATCGTAAGCACATTTTCAATACGTATTATTTGATTTTATCATTCCACTTGAGAATTCATTGACTTGCATTCAGTGATCTTACTTCCTGTTTGACAATTCATACAAAATATTCTCATTTTCCTACAGAAGATATAAGCGGAGTCGCTCCGAAGGTGAAGGCTGCAATAAAGGAAGTACAAGATCGTAAAGGTGAGTAAAACATGATGCCTAATTTTTAAAATGCTTAAACACTGACGAAAATATGTCTTGAATTATGCTTTCAAATTTATTACTATGACGACATCAATATGTGACGTCGTCCTGTATGTAGCAGATAGTAACAGTAATGAAATCTACAACTCCACAAACTGTAAACATTCAACGCTTTCGCTTTTCTGTCTTCCTAGACAAGATTCTCAGTCAAAATGAAAGCTTACAAGGAGGAATAGAAAAGTGTAAGCAAGCCGAGCATTTTGAAATGATGACGATCTATTTTAGATATGAACTGTCTGCAAACTGCATACGAATACGACTGGGGAGAGGCCGCGTTAACCGGTGCGTTCTACAAAATTCTCTTCATTTGAAATATAATTTTATCCATGAAATGTGTTCACCATATTGACTCTTCATCTGATAAATCTAAAGTCAGTTTGGTGATACACTTCCTGTTGATGATATGCTCTCTCACTGGTCATTTCATCAATTAACGCTTATGCGATTGCCACGAGATGGATGTTTGAAATTTTGTTGACTGAAAATTGATCTGAGATGCTGAATATATCAACGTCTTCCTATCTTTTCTAGAGATCGCAGACCGTCTCGCCAGCGGTAAGCTAAATATTTTGAATCATTTCTGTACACGCTTACTGTCGTAATTATTTCTCGTCAACATTCTGACTAGCAGTTTTCATCTGGCTTATATTCGCACTTCACCATCTCAATTGCCATTATTTCAGTCCTGCCTATTATTTGCTAATGTGAAACAATGATGGAGAGTTTCCTCATGCACGTTAAATGAAGAGGTATTCCAAGACAGTTGTTCGACTGATGTATTTCTCATTTCGGATATTATCTGACAATCCGTCGACTAGTCTGAAATCTGATTTTATTCATCTTTAACATGCATAAATGTGTAATATATTTAGAAGAACAGAAATCGGTTGATATGTGTGACACTCATTTATTTGCAGCATATGACCCCGCACTCAAAGCAACAGAGGAGTGTTGCCGACATGAAGCAGTGGAATATGCTAGTAAGTAGTATCTTATTACGCTAACCAGTCTGAATTGTTTCGTCTGAGTGGAGTAACGATTTTCGTAATGCCAGTCTCCACACATCTATTGTAAATCTGGGTTAGTAATCAAACTGTGTTTTACTCCTACTCATTCATGAACAGGTAAGAAAGCGGCGTTCCCTTTAAAGAATTGTTTCAAAAATATGCCTCCGGCGCCTCACGAAGGTACTTATTCGTTCCTTTTTTATATTCTTGATGAAATGAACAACATTTACACACACACACCCACGATGAAGATATATTTCCACATTTCGCAATATCTTCATCATGATTTGAATTCATGAACATCCAACTCTTATTGTACGATAGTCTGTGAGGAGTATTTTTCGTGAACCAGGGAAAAATGTGTGAAGAAGGATAAACGAGTTAAGTGTTCAGAATATTTTGAGTCGTCTACAAATGCAATTGTCTAGATAATGTGATTGTGAATAGAAACACACACCAGAAGACAACATGTTGAACGTGAAACTGATTGAGTACTAATAAAATGACATGATGACTGAATTTTGAAAGTTGTGCATTCTTAACATAGTGCAAGTGGATGAGTTCGTAGAGTAGTCAGCTGGTTGAATCTTTGCGCAAAGCAGATTGTTTCGCATCATTTCATGTCGCATAATTTTGAGCTACAACATGGTTGTATGATTGTGAGATACTCAATCTGCAAGATGTTCGTCCATGAATTATTTCAGATCTGCATCAACTGAATAGGCTAACCGGAATACTTTACGACCACATGCACTGGGTTGCCAAGGATATTTGTGAGTTCATTTTTTACGTTTGATTAAACTTCACAATTGAATATTTCTGTGCGAAAACAGTGTAAATGTTGTGATTAGGTTTCGAGAATAGTCAGTGCCTATCTAATGTTAGTTATTAGACAAATGCAGTGATGAACAATAAACCCTTTCACTGGTCGATTCAAATATTTTTCAACCTGTTTTATCATTTCTAGTCTACAGGAATCTAGCAGCAACCCAAAGGGGTGGTTGACAGGTGAGGTTAATTTTGCATCATATTTCTACATTTTATGATACGAAGGTCTGTTATCGGGTTAGTGACTCTAATGTGAAACGCACGAAATGTGAGGCAGTGTGAATGATGATGAGTGGGAGAAGTACAGCACAGGGTACAGAAATTCACCGCAACAGTTAGATAATATTTTTCATCGTTGACTGTTCTACCATATCTCGATTGAAATACTGTTTAATGAATGTGTGACTCAAATTACAGTCTCGAATACTCCTGTTTACTCGAATGATGAAAGCATCATGAGTGTCGTCATAGGTTATCGTAATCACATTATCCAATAATCAATATCGTAGCGGATCACAATAGATGGTATGGTGAATGTATGAGAATACTCCTGCGCATTTCAAAAAATCTCACCGAGGCTATGCAAACAGTCTGGTGAAATTTGCACGACTCATACTGAATAACTGAAATGTAGCAAGTCAATTCCCTCGAAAAATGATGGATATGGAAACCATCACTCACTGAAAATATTTAGAATTCTCGGATTCTATGGATAAGCGCACAGAACACCAACAATCATCCGCCTTCCCACAATTAGTCTTTCTCGATTATTTCACCACTAATACTTCATCAAATAATATTGCTAACTGATTTTATTCTGATACAGAAAATTGAAGACAAGTACCAGGATGAATTTCAAAGTCGGCGTAACACTGAATACATGTAGATTGTAGAAACTTTCGTAAATATTTCATTTTAAATTAAAGTAATTAAATAAATCTTTCATTTGCTACAATGCTTTCTCTTCATGAATTCACACTTCATTCAAGTGCTGATTGTGTTGTGCTTTGGTGGTAGACCTCAAGTTGTGCGATGAACACTTTTCTAAACTAGTTGCTTATCGACTAACATAACGATGGCATAACGTGATCAACACGTTTCCTAGGAATCGTAGTAATAATAATTATACTAAGAGTAATTTCAAAAAACAAATATAATTCTACTTCTCATTACTGATATGTGTTCCAGATGGAACATCAAGATAAAAGAGCACATCTCCATTTCAAAACTATCGTTGCAGTCCTTTCTAACTGAAAAAAAATAGTGATGCCGATAAACCCTTAAAACCGATTTATTCCAAACAAAGTGAATTTCCTAGCGTGTTCTGAAATATTCCATCCCATTTCCTCGTTACATTACTCGTCAAATGTGAATGTAAATACTACGATATTGATATTATCAACATTGAGAAAATGAATCGAAAATTGACACACATACTGACAGGAATTCGCTCAGGATAGAAGAAGTAAACGGTGGCATTTATTTCTTGAAAGTATTCGCAGAACATCAGCAGCTTCACGTCTAACACATCTCTCATCTCTCATATGAAATTCCAGTCAAATAAGCTTTCATCGAACTATTAGATTATGTCGTCTGAAGATACAGTCTATAACAGTTGCTTGTATTACCACATGAAGAGATGAAATAGGACAGTTGTAAAATGAAGAGAAAGCTGTGATTCTGACAAGAGGATATTCGCAAATTTATTGCATGAATTGAAGCGCCTGCCCGAAACAATATAAGAGCGTGTACGTATAGGAAGATGCATTGGTGGCACAGCGACAGACTGCTCGCCAACCACGCTTCATGTGATCCAGGGTTTGATTCTCGGCCACGGACGAACTCCTTCACCTCACCAAGACAGTAATAAGTCTGGTCAAGATGGGAGGTTGGGCATTAGGCTAGCAACTCCACTCTGTAAAACGAATCACCACTGCTACAGAAACGTGAAGCCTCTAGCTTGAAGTCCTATGTTCTACAGGGAACTTGAAGGAATAGAAACGTTAGAGAGGCTTCACACGCTGCCTACAGCTTTGGACGTCTCTTACTTTGTCACAAAGTCGTAGTCAAATAGTGAAGGGGAGATCAAATGAGAGCGATGTAGAAGAGTGGGAGGTCAGTATGCAAGAGTAAACAGTTTATGAAAGTACATGTTGATGGATTGTAAGGACATATTCATATGATTAATTATATTCCCTTTGCTTCCGAGTGGAACAAAGCGCTCCAACTACACTTTCACATTTTTTTCTATTTTTTGCCGTCATATTCACCTGGCTACACGGCTGCCCATAATCTCTATTCGCACGATCTCCTGCATACCATCCTAGCCAGATGACTCACTCGTCGCTCACAATTTCGATTCCACTCAAACAATTGCCTGGCGTGATGACATATGAAGGCCCTCTTAATTTTTGCTCAGTCTGTCTCCATTTCCTCTCACATATTTCTCCCAGCCAGGGTTTCTTTTCACCAATTATCTCTGGCCGAGTTTTCTACCTTCAGTGTGGAGCCAGCGAAGGCAGCTGTCATTAAACGTCTGCAACCTGTTGAAAATCCTTTCAGTTGCTCGCTGGTCACTTTTCTGACCCGTATAGAAGAACTGAATGATCGACTTGACATTGGTGTTGAAAATGCGAGCCATGTTCCCAATGCTTAGGCAGAGCGCAGAAGATTTTGAAACTCGTTTTAGTTTGATGAAGGCGTATCTTGTCTTGCCTTCTAGATTCTGGCTTGATTTGACATTTTCATCCGTTCCGTGAACCTGATATTTCCTAGCCAGATAAGAGAAGGAAGTGACTTCTGTTAAATCTCTACTGTTGATGGTGATTGATGCTGGTTGTTCTTGATGTTGATTGGTTATCTTCATCACCTATGTCTTCTTTGTGTTTACCTGGAGTCCTGTTTCCGAACCCTCTGCAGACAGTTTGTTGCTTTTCATCGACGCGCGAAATCCACATCTTCCAGAGTCTTCTGATCAAATGTCAAGTCTATTCCAGTTTCCTCGCTCCGTGTACACAGTCTGAGGCATAATCTAATAAACGCCAATTTTGAATATAATTGGTGAAAATAGGCCGCCAGCCTTGTCTTGCTCTTGTGTTCACTTAGTACACCTCGCCGAGTTTTCCCTTCTGTATTGTCTGACACGTGGCACTGCCATATAGCTAGCTGTTGAATGGGGTTGATAAAGACTGTTCTACGCTTTGTTCTATGATGATGATTTGTAGAGTAGCAATTTGATCAGCCCATGATTCGGCTTCCTCAACGTAGTTTGTTCTAGGCTGGCGGAGTTCTACATCTAGTGCGTTGCTTTTTCTCTCCAGGATTATGCGATTCAGGATTAACTTGGCGTGGACAAAGGCATGATACTTCACCAGTTCCTGCAGAGTGAGGCCTCAGTTGGCCTTCTTTGGCAGCTTGATAAGGTAGCCAGCCTTTTCTTCCAATCGTAGGTGTCTTTCCTTCTTTTCAAGCCCTTTGTTATAATCGCGTGAGCACAGCTTCCACATTCTCTGTGTCCATTTTCGGTGGTCACTGTTTGGGGAATTCTGTCTGGCCCTACCACCATCCCGACTGCATCTCATTATCTTGATCATATTCAGAACTTCTTCTGTCGTCAGAGGATCAGTTTCAAGTGGTGGGCAATTGTTTGTGTGCAATTGTTGTTGTTGTTTGTGGTTTTTCTGGTCAAGTTATAGGTTGTGGTCGATAGCAGAGATCTTAAGAGTGGTAAGACCATTGTCTTCTTTGTTTATCCTCCGTGGTTATCAGGTTACCCTGAGCATCTTTTATTGGTCTCATCATCTAAGTTGATCTCAACCCGAATTGCAAGCAGCGTGATTATCTAATATGATCTCCTGAGGTCTCTGTTACCTGAAGCCTGCCTGCCTACATGCACACTTGTTCTGCTTCAGTTGCTGGCCAGTGTGTTGTAGAATTGTCGCTTGTCCTTCCTGGCACTCTTCTTCTTCTTCAATTCTTTCCTTATTCTGTGCAGTAAACATTGAATTCAGCTTCTCTTTCTCGTGTCTATCTTTGCATTCAGTGATCTTCTCTCTGTCACCATCTTCCTCTCTTCTCCCTTCAAGGATTGACGTTAAGAGGCATTCCTTCTCTTCTCTTGTTTCCTCTTTCTTCCTGGGAGAGTTGTGCACATTTCATTGAACAGCACCTTCATATAGTGAGATCCAATGTTCTTCCACGCAGATTTCCGCAGTGATGCCACGTGGAGTATCCGACTTTGCTCGGATCTGATATGTGGTGAAGGCGTCCCAGAGTTTCTGAATGTTCAATTTGAATTACAGTGGCCTGTCGTCAACTGTTTTGAAGGACTTCAGCCTCACATTGAAGTTCCGTTGAGCTGGATATTGGTCTGGTCCCACATTTGCTCCTATTCTTGAATTTACTTCCAGCGTGCTCTGTCTCCACTTCCTAGAAAAGCATTAAGTAGAAATCTAGCTGATTTGTTGTGTGTCGTAAAGGCGAAATCCATATCGCTCTGTGTATATAGTTGCGTTTGTACACGCTGCCTCTGATCACGAAATTATTAGAGGCACAGATATCTGCAAATAATTCTCTGTATTGTCCTTTATTTCTCCGAAGCAGACCCTCTCAATCTGTGATGATTTTTCTTCCTGTATTATTTAATCCCAGTTCGGCTGGCATCCTTGTCTCCCATGAGGAATTTGATGCCACCATTTGGTGTTTCGTCCATTACTGTTTGTAGAAATTTGTGAAAATCTTCCTTCTCTTGTTTCGCATTGTCTGCAGCATTGGATTATTGTGACCTTCCTCCCTTCCTTTCGAGTAGAAACTTCCTGTCATGATCCTGGGTGAAATTTATTCCCACTGCATTATTCTTTTGGCTGCATTGGTGACATCGTGACAGCCGCTCACTTTTTCAATGTGCTCGTTGTTGTCGCTTGGGTGGCCGAACAGGAGTAGATTACTGACTCTCCAGTTGACAGTTTTCACAATCCACATCCATTCCATGTGCTCACGCAGAGACTCAGCACTTCTGTGCCATATCTTTGCATTTATTTGCCTATCTGAGTGATCTCGCCAGGCAGCTTCGTACATTGTATGGACATTATACGTGCCAGTCTTATTATTGCTTCCATAGGGAAATACACATCAGCTGGGTGTCTGGATTCTCGACGGCTTGCTTTCGCCAGTCCACATTATTTCGCCTCTCCAATTCCCGTGAACAATAAGTTTGTTATTTAAATTTTTCGCATTCCCAGCTATGTTTCCTGAACATGTAATACTGTCAATGGATAGGAACCTTATGTATTTGATTGGAAGTTTTTCTCAGTGTTGCCTTTATCTGTTCTCAATAACTTGTTCGCAATCATCACAACGGCACGGATGTAAGATTTGAGGCAACCCACAGAGGTATGGACAGCAAACAGCAGACTCCACCAACTCGGATAGAGGAGGGATTTGAGTACACAAGACACACAGTGAATGTCCAAATGTGTTTTATTTGTGAAGCTGATTAATCACTTCTGTGAACAATGATGTGATATTCTGAAGGCTGCTGCAGTTGTCACGCATCGACGTGACAAAATGGATCAGAGAACGCTATGAGGGACAGTTCTGTTCAAACAGTACTCTTACTTCTGCTTCCAGGATCATACGGAAACTTAGTTGACGCAAGGTACAGGAGAGATGATTCGTCCGACATGATGCTCCCATCAACAAATGCGGATGTTTTGTGTATACTACTTTCCACACTGAGAAAATCTGCAGTCAAGGTCTCAGTTTTCCAATCTGATGTGTTTTCGTCATGAAGACAATCACAGATATTTACCAGAGTACAGAAACACTGAGTCACTTCATGACAGGCTACATTATTATTCTACTCTAATGCCATCTGAATAACTGCCACTTCCTGCCTACTGTCTGAATTCACAGGAGTCAACATATTACAAAATCAATGAACATTCGATAAC